TGGGGGGATGGGAGGGGAGGGTGGTCAGGGTGCTTGTGAGGGGGCAGAGAGGGTGAGAGGGATGGAGGGAGAGGGAACTGGGATTTACATGTAAAATGAAGAAAATTAATTAATTAAAAAAAGTCAGATGACAATAAAAGTGCTTTGTTGGGGCTAGAGAGACATCTCAGCGGTTAAGAACACCAGCTGTTCTTCCAGAGGACCACTGATGGAGGGGTTGTCCTTCTGTGTATATGTTTCTCTTATTGGTTGATGAATAAAGCACTGTTGGCCAGTGGGGGGAGGGGAGAGAAAGAAATTTCTCATCAGGCTTTGTATTTCTTTGTATCTCTGTACACATAATGAGTCACTTTCTGTATTCTCAAATCTAATAGAGCTGTTGAACTCAGTGGAAAGTCTAAATCACCTGGTGACCTTTGAGGAGACACTCTCACATTGTGTTAGATTTTTAGTTCAGTTTTATGCACTTACTAAAACCACTAATGGGTTATGAGTATTGAACATACTAGGAGTCGCTGACAACCATCTTATATAGTGCAAGCTCCATGGCTGAACAGCTCTGCTGGATTCCTTCTCCATTTCTCATGTCTGAGACAGGAAACAAAATGACTAGGTGGGTTTGTAGTTGCACTGAAATAGTTAATGCCTGTCCTTTTGTGCCTAACATAGAACACACTGCAATCTGAAATAAGAACTGAATATTTACCAAAGGCTTTGAACATTTTTGTCTTCCTGAGCTCCTATGGTATCTTTATTAACTTCTGAGGGTGTGAGCAGCTGCAAGCAAAGCAGCTGGCCACTAGCTCTTTCCTCTACCTCAGGCTGAAAGTGTGATCTGGCTAGCTTCAGGGAACCCTAAGACTGCTGTCCAGTCTCCACCAAGACTCAGACTGCAATCCCAGACTGCTACCTTCTCCTTTTATACCTCTCAGATCCTTGGATTCAAGGCATGTGATCCCAACCACTGAGATTACCTTCTTATGAACTGTTTCTCTTTAAGACAAGATCAGTTTCATGTGGCTCACTGTGGCCTTGAACTAACACAGATTCATATGATTGTCTCTTGAGTCCTGGGATTAAAGGTGTATGCCATGACCACTTAGCTCTCTGGCTAGGTAGAATGACTCCTGGGATTAGTTTGGGATTGTCTCGATTAAGCTGGGATTGTCTAGATTAGGCTGGGATTGTCTAGATTATGTTGCCCTGTGGTAAAGCCTATCAGGGAACTGTCATTATTGTTAATTGATATAGGAAGATACAGATTACTGTGGGCAATACTATTCTGAATTGTATCAGAAAAGGGAAATCCACTTGAGTAACAAGCATGAATTATTTTTTCCTCTATTCTTGACTATAGATGTGATGTAACTGATTACTTTGAAGTACTGTTTTGACTTCTGGGCAATCAGGGTCTATAACCGGGAATTTTTAGCTGAACTCGTCCCTACTGCATTACTTTGGAGTTCACATTCCCTTGTTCACTTCTGACTCTTGGCTACTATACATGAATGAACATAACTTCCCATAGACAATGTCTTCCTCCTCCCACTTCTCATGGAGGGCTCCATAACCTAATTAGATAGTGTTTGCTGCCTTATTAATTTCCTCAAGGAAAAACATCTTTGACTATAGAGATTTTGTCGAAGTTTTGAGATGAAGGAATTTATGTTTAAGTGGAGACCCTCATTTTCCCAAAGGCATAAAGTTATTGTAATACAAATTGAGTGAGCAAGGTGAGTAGGGATTCAATACTAGGATCATAGGTTCATGTCTAGAATTCTAGCTTTGCTGTTGCTATGAATCATAGCAACATGAGGAAGTTATTTCTTGTACTGGCCCTCAGGTTCTTGTAAGTGAAATACTGATGGGGTTTTTTTTGAGGGTGAATAATACTTACTAATTCATAAAAATTGCTTGGAATTTTTATGGAACTTTCAGTAAAAATAACTGAGATAATTTTAAGGGCCTCTGATCATTTCCAAATCCCAGCTAATACAATCTGACCTTGTCTCATCTTCCATTCTTATACTCAAGCCACATTCTTCTGCTAAATTCCTGTCTTGATATTTTATTTTATGTAAGGCAGAGCAATGCCACCACTACTTTTTGTGGTCCTAGTAATAGACGAACCATGGCTTTTGAAGTTATTATTCTGAGCAGTTAATCAAGGTATGTTCCTACTGTAGAAGATATTCCTCTCTAGTGGACATTCTGAAGATAACTGACTGTAAGTTCAAATATGCCATATATATATATATATATGTATATATATATATGCATAAATCTGGTGTGCATATTACATGAATGCATATAAAATCAGCTGCTTCCAGAACTGTGTGCATGCTTCATATCTGTAATTGATGTATCTTTAAAAGTGAGTTGCCAATGTGTCATCACAATTTAGTTGTGAGAGATTGGCTTTTGACCAAGGTCACTCACTAAGTGCAAATCAGGGGTCTCCCTAGGCTCTGTCTATTCCCCAAAGCCCATCACCTTCTCCTGTGTCTGGCCAGTGACCTATTCGATCTCATTTACTCACAATAACCAATCCAATGAGTCTGGAACAAGGGATGTCCCCGTTTGCAAGCAAGGAGATGGAGGTGTTGAGAAGTAGAATTCAGATAATGTCAGAGCCAGGATCAGACATTCTGCCTTTTGCCACTTGTACAACTATATGTTAAGTTTTACCTCAAAATAATCAGTCTGAAGATCCAGGAGAAATAGAGGATGATTCGTTCTAAAACATCCAACTTAAGGCTGGCTGCAGTTAGGAGAAAAATTCCCTAAAGGGATAAAGTAGGATTCCCAGGAGCATGCCAGCAGTTTAGCTCTGTGCATGGAATACAGAGTTAAGGGGCATTTGCCTCCTAGCATTTAGCCTTCCTGTTGATTCATAAGATGCAAATGAAATGTAAATGTTAAAACCAAGTGGGGGAAACTACTTATTTTCAGAGGAAAAATATAAGAAAGCCATCCTAGAATACTGTAAACGCGAGGAGAACTAGACAGAGAGGCGCTGGGAGTGGGGGGGAACACAGAAGATGGAGTTTAGTAATTTTAAGCACGAAAGGAAAGGAATTCAAAGATCAGGGTCTGCGTGTGCGCTTGCGCGCTTGTGTGTGTGTGTGTGTGTGTGTGTGTGTGTGTGTGTGTGTGTGTGTGTGTGCGCGCGCGCTCCCATGCGCTAAGCTTCTGCCTGCACACTGGGACACCCCCATCTCCACTAGCAGGTAGCTGGTGGTTCCTAGTCCTTTGAAGCCTCAGCTCTCTGTGACTAGTTAGCATTCTCTGCTGGAGACTGGCTTCTCACAGGGGATGACCCTGTGATGCAGGAAAGACTATTTAATGCCCTCGTGAGGTGGTTCAGGGACCAGGATTTTATTATGTTACTGGCATAAGAGTTGTAATCCCACATTCCTGAATTAGAGTCACTCAGGGCCCCAACAGCTCCACCCTGGTGTTTTAGAGGAAAATATTCCTTAATTCTTTCTGCCTGAACTGAAAGCTACACGGATTCCTGATGCTAAGCCTGGGAGGTGGTTTAAGCTTCAGAAATTGCCCTAGAAGCCTGCCCATCTGCTGGGTGCCTGGCTTTCTGGAACGGAGCAGGAGGAGTTGGCTTTTAATCTGAGGAACTCTGGATTTTGTTTTGTAACTTAAAAATCGTCGCCTGATTAAAAATAAACATGACACTTCTTAAAAGGGGGATATTAGGAAAATCCGTGCGACGATGTATGGTATGGTAGTTTCCTAATTCTCACCGGGAGGAAGATGAGGGCGGGAGAGGGGGCAGAAATTTCTTCTGGCTTTGTGGTACTGGATACTTGACTAAATGTTCTGCTCCGAGGAGATGTGCGCTAGCTGGGAGTAGGGGTAGAGAAGAAAGGCGAATTAGAGAAGCGAGGACGGAGTTTGTCCCGAGGGAGATTTTTTTTCCTCTACCAGCCAGTCGCTGTTTCCACCTTTTCCGCCTCCTCGTTGCTGGTCCAAGAGGACCAAAGGCGCTCTCACTCCTGACCCCCACGGTGCTGCCCCAGCAACTCCACAGAAGCTGAAGGCTGTGCTGTCGCCGAGGAGAAAAATCCCTAGGAGTGAGCCAGTGAACGTGCTTCCGGGTGCAAGAAGACAGCTATGTGACTAGGCGGCGCGCACAGCAGATGGCCACAGACTGAGTCTTGGGGGGCGCTGAGAACCTCATGGCAAGAGCCAGTCCGGGGCGAACCCAGCCCGCTGCGCCCCGGCTCGCAAAGCCGCTCCTGATTGGCCAGTGTGTCCTTGGGAGGCGGAGTCGAGCGCAGCCCCGCCCACACGAGCGCGGGCTGGCAAGGGGGCCGGGGCGTCATGCTCTCCTCCCATCCGGGGCCGCCAGCTCTGCTCCGTTTCCGACTCGGTCCTGCAGCGCCTCTAGGCTGCGGATCCGCGCTCCAACCACCTGCTCCACGCCACCGTCAGGGAAGCTGAGCCGGAGGGAGGAGCGCGAGGAGGAGGAGGAGACTGGCAGCTTCCACACGCCTTCCAGTGCTCCACTCAGAGCAGCCCGAGCCCGCGGCCGCCGCCACAGCTCCAGCTGCCGCCGCTCCAGCCACTGCCGCGGCTGCCACCTGAGGAGACCCAAGGTGCGGACCCAAGGCGCTGCCCCGCCGACCCCTCCGAGGTCCCGGTGATCCGTGCACGGCGCAACTCTCGTTGCCCTTCTTGTCATCTCCTTCGCAAGCGGAGAAACTAACAGAAGATAGCAGCCAGCGCGAAAAAGAGAACCGCGTCCTCCTCGACTGACTACTGAAGCGTCTCCTGGAATAAGAGGGTCGCCCGTCCTGGGAGGAGCAGCCAAAGACACCGAAGGGAGGGCGTGGAGGGGGAGGAAGGAGTTGCGGGTTGAGCGTGGAGGAAAGTTGCGCGTGGCATAGATAGACCCGACGGCGCAGCGCCGCGATCCCCGGGGGACCGTGTGTCTGGGATAACGCTGCTACCCCCCCTTGAGTCCGGACACAAGAGCGAGCGGGCCCCGTGGGCCCGGGGACGACGCCCCCTCCTGCGGCGTGGACTTTGTCGGTGGCCCTCGAGGAGGAGGAGGAGGAATATGGCACCTAAGGTGTCCCCTTCTTGCCGTCTGGTTTTCTGCCTCTTGATCTCAGCCGCGGTCCTCAGACCAGGTAAGCAATGGCCTCTGAGCAGCCCGGCCGAGTGTCGAGTGTCGCGGTTGCTGTGGCCCGGGGGCGGTGCCCTGGGTGGCCTGGGACTGTGCGCCCTAACGCGTGGTTGGGAAAGTAAGGGAGCCATAAAGGCGCGCGGGGACACGGACCTGTCCCTGGGAGCAGTCACTTGTGTCACACGTTTTTAGGCTTGACTGGTCTGGTCAAGTTTGGGCAGAGAGAGCAAGCTCGGAGAAAATCTCCAGGAACTTTGGATGAGGCTTAGCTCGAGGCCGAGGTGCCCTCAGGATTCGCTATACTCTCTTCCCCTGCACAGTCCCTCCAGACCCTGGGTGTCAAAGTCCACGTCATGAACCCAGGGCAGTTTCCTTTTGCTTGGCTTTGAGCTGATATAACTGCCTGCACTTTGTCATGATAAATCCCCTAGTAACTTCCTCTTGGTCATAATGTGAAGACCCAGGAGGGAAGGCAGGGGCAAGGCAAGGCTTTTACCATCTCGGTGTGTGTGTGTGTGTGTGTGTGTGTGTGTGTGTGTGTGTGTGTGTGTGTAATAACACTGAAATAACAGCTGCATTGTCTGGTGGGTGGTGAGGGTAGGGTTGATGGCAGCCGAGTCACGCAGCATGGACTGGGTTAGCAGCCAGGTTTGTGAGCCCTGTGTGAGGGATGTCTTGATTTCCACACCCAGTGATAGCACCTCACTTCTCATTTCTACACTGAGTCCTCGAAGGAAGACGACAAAATTCCCACCAACCAGACTATCTTGTGGGGAATCCCTTGTCTCACCCTAGGGGACAGCCCTGCATTCTCTCACCCTAAGGGACATCCCTGGCCCTGGTGTCCACATCCACCAGCTGGCCTGCAGGCTGACATGCCATAGTCCTGCCTTGCCTGGTATGCTCTCCCAGTCCTTAGCCTAAGTGGCAGGTACTTTTCCCTGTGGAGCCCTAGATCTAACCTTTTGAAGTTTTGATTTTCAACCATTTAGTGGGTTGTTGGGGGTTAACCTACTATTCCCTGTTATTGGGCTTTGCCTTTTTTTTCCCTCCCCCTTTCTTTAGTTTTAAGTCAAGAAGAAGGCAAAAAAGGACTCACTTTCTTTTCACATCTTTTATTCCTGTACTCCCCTTCAGTTGTTGGTGAGCTGAAACCACAGAAGAGGGTTCAAAGGCTAGGGAATCTTTCCCAGGAAGGAAAGGAAAGTAAGGAGGCCACAGCAGGGTTTGGAAGCCTCTACTCTCTCTCTCTCTCTCTCTCTCTCTCTCTCTCTGTGTGTGTGTGTGTCTCCCCCCGTGTGTGTGTGTGTGTGTGTGTGTGTGTGTGTGCTGGGCGAGTGAGAGTGGAGGAGGTTGTTGCCTTCTCCATTTCTCTATATCAAAGTTGCATTTTTGGGTGAGGTAAGGAACTTATGTTTCTGAGGCTGAGAAAGACATCAGTGACCAATCTCAGGCTCTGGGGCGGGGACCCTAAAACCTGAGTAGCTCCAGGTTTTAAGGCAGGTAGGGCAGGATGAAATCACCCAGAAGATGAGCGCCAGGCCTCTCTAGTTTTGCACAACATAGTCTCACTTTTCTGAATCCCGCTGTAGGATGGGGGAAGGGCACCTTGGAATTCAGGGGAAGAGTCAAGTAGGGAGCTTGGGGGCCAGTGTGTGAAATGTGACAGTGCACACGCCTATCTCAGCTCTTGGCTTTAACCCTCTCACACCAGGCTCCCAGACTACCACTTCTACTCACCCTCCCCTCCCCCGCCCCGGACTGCAGCACGCAGCAGTTAACCTTTCATGCGGTCGCGCTGGAATTTATTTTCAGTTGGCCCCGTCGAAAAACAGGTTTTTCTTCGCTCGAAACTGCCAAGAGAGGAGAGGTTCTGCTCTCAGACCTGATGGCGATTCTTTCTGCACCACAGGCTCCAGTCCAAGCCACCAGCTGTGTGCTTTCCCGCAGGAGCGCACCTGCTGATCCAGGGTCGCAAGCCACAAACCCCCAAATTCGCTTTTCCCCTGAATGATAGCGCTGACGTTGTGCAAACTTCTCCACGGAATGTCAGTGTGCTTTCAGTGGAATGGTTATGGTTCTAAAGGCACAGGTCTCCTTGCAAGTGAGTCCAGGGCTGTAAGTGCGCCTCCTGCAGTGTCCTCTGCAGAGTGGAGCCTTGGGAGTGTGGTACTTCATCCCTGGGGCTCATTTTCCTGGTTGCCTCCTTTCTGGAGCAGTTTTAACAGTATGTGTCAGGTGCCAGAAGACAGACACTGCTCCTGCAGGTCTTTTGACTTGTCGATACCACAGTAGTCACCCATATGTTTTAGGCCTCTTGTGTAATCTGTTTTGAAGGTAGAGGGAGGCAAGACTTCCACCAAGAAAATCTGAGTATGATAAAGGCAGTGAAGTGTGTGCTCAGCATCCTAGGTGGGGAAAAAAAAAAAAATCAATGCATTATTCTTGCAGAAAGAGCGTCAGCCTGTGGTGACATTTTGTACTGCTTTAAAGAAAGCTTTCCTTGCTTGTTTGCTAGGAAGGAGGTGTGGCATGGCAGTTAACCATTTGTTTGAAGACTTGAGCCATCTGAGCTCAGCTCTTCTCTGAGATCTTTTTTCATTTCTCAGGATACAAGGTTCAGTCTAAGACTTACGTTTATCAGTTTATGTCACCAGGTCTGGGGGGGGGGAGCAGCCACTGAAATCTGAGCTCATGTCCTTTCAGATCACTCATGTGGCAATATTAAAATTTATTAATTTTACAACTACAAACTGCTTCTTAGCCCCACTATAGTCTGTTGTTTGTTTTATTTCTTTAACCCAATAGCAATTTACAATGTAATGGAGTACTGCTTGCAGCAAATTGCTTTTCTCAGCTTGATTTAAAACCTAGGTCTACATTCAGACACTTGAACATGACAAGAAAGCTTTTGGGGCTTCAGCTTTCTCCCATGTTAAAAAAACAAAACAAAAACAACAACAACAAAAACAAACAAACAAAAAAAACCAAAAACAAAAACAAAAAAACCATGAACCTATTCTTTGAGACTTCCTCCAGCTCAGACACTGCTTCTTGTATTGAGGTAAAAACAATTGGCCTGGCAGAATCATTTTCCAGTAATGTGTTTCCTACACTCTCATTCTGAGCAAAATGCATTGTATTGCTAGAAAGGGTTCAGTGTGTATCCCAATTGCTAACTTTCTTTCTTTTACTCCTTTTATAAATTCATAAGAATGTGTTGTGCTTTCTTCCAGGGCCAATTAGGAAAATCAAAACAAAATAAGATGGGGGGTGGGATTTGTCTCCCATTAACCTAGAAGAGCCTGGTAGTGTAGTCATCTGCCTCATCTTAACTGCATGTGTAGTTCTAGAAGTAGGTATAGGTTGGCTGGTACGAAACGCTCATGTAACAAAACATGAACATTTTACTTGTTTTACTAACCCTAATGGTGTTTGTATAATTCAGGGAATAGAACACACCAAAACTTTCATGTCATTTTAAAAGCCATAGAAATCCATGCTATTTTGCATTGCTAATTCCCAACTTTTCTGACATTTTAGGATATTCAAGCTCACTTTTTTTGGTGATGGAAATTCTTATGCGAACGCATGTATATCATTGACTTGTCAAGAAGTAGGCAGTCAACAGGAGCCCACTCAGCAGTCTTAAGTACTATTTATATAAAGCTGGTATTACAGAGTTCAATTCCTTACCCCCTACATCTAAGAAAGCTATGACCTTGAGAACTATTGTTCTTCCCCTGTTTCTTTCCCATCTAAAAAAACTTCCTTTTATGTAATTCGTGGTTCTGATTGTAGGGAGATTAATCATCCCATAGAACTGCATTTTGGAAAATTTTAGCTGTAAGATGTGCTATATTGAAACTTTAATATATTGTTAACAAAATGTTTTTTAATCTATTCCACTTAGTTATCATTTTATTGTTTTATTAAAGGGGGCCAGAATGCTTTTTACTTTTCTTATATCTTAGTGCCTTTTTATGTTCCCAATTCTCATGCCATTAAACCAAGATCTTACTGAAACTGAATGCTGAGTTGTAAGTTTTTATTTTTCATCTATAATAGCAGTATTTCTAAAGTAGTATTTTGAATGTTTTATGACCATCAAGCCTTATAGTCCAGACACACCTCTTTCTGTTCTGACCATTTGTTTAACATCAAACATCAAAGAGTTCTATAACTCCAGTAGACACATCCTATTTATATCTGGGAATATGGAGGAGAGCTACACAGGTTCCCCACATTGAATATAAAAAAACATCTGTGCCGTTGGTTGGACAAATAGAATCAGTCCCTTCAAAGTGTTGATTTTGTTCTTTGTTGTTCAGTTTTCACACAGCTCCATGCCATTGCTGGTCTAAGACTTTTGTGATGTACAAAGAATTACATTACTCATTGAAATAACAAAAACTGCCAAGAATATTTTCTTGAAGAGTGGGGAAAAATTAATGCTTGTTGATTATTACTTTCAAATTTCTGATCATTATTTTCTCAACAAGAGCTTAAAAGACCGGAAATGTGTCCATTTCTATTTTTATTTACTTTCTTATTTGACCAGAATTTTCCTTTCCCTATGAAAAATGAGGTAAAATTTGAACATATATGTATGTTCAAATATATATATATATATATGTATATATATATATATATTCTGTGTTTAAGAAGAAGCTGTTACATGCCATTTGACCAAGCTTTAGCTTACATTTATTCAAGTATTCTTTCTATATGTAAAGTATTACATATTTATAAATATTTTCATCCAACTAATTATTTATTTAAATGACAATCTCACATTTATTTCTTTTTGTTGTTGGCCAGAGTAGCATATATTTTTGAAAGAACTGATCAAAAAATACTGTGATATTTAGTCATTGTTAAATGGTAACCTATTATCATTGTTTGTTATTGTAGTGTATGTTCTAAGAATGAAATTAGGTTTTAATGTTTTTTCTTATTTATCTAGTCAGTTCTCAGACTTGCATGCAGAGCATACCAGTCCTA